CTAGCCAAGACTAATGTAATTAATGATAATAATAATTAGTCATCCCATTTACTCAATGCCAGAAGCCTTGGTAGGACATCCTGTCTAATTTGGATTCTATTGTAAGGCAGCACTCCAAATGAGTCAGATTTTTCAATATTAAACCATTCCGTCATTTTGTTCGGTGTGAGTCCTCTTGAGCCAAATCTGCCCAGGGAACAAATGCACAGTATGGATTCAGATGAGATCATCATCTAATTTGTAATTTCAAGTGCATTTAGAGCTGGACTCCTGACTTGTACTTCCTCCATATAATTAACTCTTTCTCTGTCCCCTGTTTTATTCGGCATCGCTCCCCTAGCAAGATGTGAGGGAGACAAGCACCCTCCTTTTGAAGACCATTGAGATCATGGAAATGAAAGTATTTTGTAAACTCTAAATTGTTATGCAAGCAGAATTCAACAAGTAATTCATTGTTGAGCAATTTCTGTGTCAGTACCATAAAGGACACTGAGGATATGCAACTGCCAAGGAGCACGTTCTAGAGGAATTTCTATCATTTCTCATTAAACCTTAATATTTTCAGAAGATTGGACCATTTGGGGGAATGTATGATACTACCAAGGCTTGCTAGATGAATGATGAAAATAAACACAAAAATGATGAGATTAGCTTTCGGTAGAAATCTCCTTAAAATAGAACTTCTTTAAGTCAAAGTTCTTAAAAAGGGCCAAAAGGCCAAAAAGCAAATGATGATTTGTCTGAAGGTAAAATAAACTCATGACAATTGTGCCAGCCATGATAATATAGACACTAACATTGACTTTGCACTCCATGATTGCTGGACACTGTAATATGTAATTTCCACGTGCAGCATCTCACTTCTCAAAACGAATCCAGAAGGTGGGTATTGCGATTCCATATTCTAAAGGACAGCTTGAGGCTCTGAAAGGTTAAATAACTTGCCTAAAATTATTCTGCTAGAAAGTAACAGTCTGATATCTAACCCAGGCTATCTATTTCTCAAAGACTGGATGGAATGGTATCGTATTATACAAAGAGCTTTGGCACAGGAGTAGGAGTTTGGGGTAGGCAGAGTGCGGGAGTGTTCTCTAGGAAAGCCCAGAGAGATGGAGCTGGTCAGCAGATCCCTAGGCTTGCCCGGAAGTCAGGGTGACCTGATCTATGAATATCCATAAGTAGTCACGGGGCAGACTCACTTCCGGGTGCCTATCAAGACCTCAGAGCCTCAGCAGCTTAGTGAATCCGGCGATTGCAAAGCCAGCTCCAACTTGGTGTTCGCCAAGCTACCTCCTGACAGTTGTTTGGTTTGTTGTGTAGATTTGCCTCCTGGAAGGGAACTTACAAAACTTGAGTATATTTTTAACAAATGAACAAAGTCACAGGACATGGATGTATGGACCAGAATTCCAGAGCGAGACAACACCCCTGAGTCCCATCAATTCCAAGTGCCTTGGATGAAATTAGCCCTCCGCATCTGCTGAGCTGATGACTAAATCAGGGTCCCTGGGGGCCCCACAAAGGCTCAACCCTCTCCAAGGTTGAGCTTGGGCTATAAGCCACTTTGCATCTTAGTCTCATGCTAAACCTAACCAAGAACCCATCGCAATGAAAGATTGTGCCCTCAAGAATATGGATATTGAATTTCCAGGTTGTGTTCAGACCTTTTGGCTCGTCAAAGTCCATATAGCAAACGGTGACGCACAGTGCCATTTAACATGGTGGGGTTCCATTTCTCATGCAGTGGCATGTGGGAAACAATGTTTTCATTCACATCACCAATGAAATAGAAAAACCAAACTCACATATTTTGCTATTGCTTATGGTATATCAGGGAGTCTTGAAATGATGGTTAGTTTGAAAGAAAGTGATGCTATGATCATGGCCCTGAACACATCCAGCAAGGAACTGATGGAGTGCCGTGCAAAGAGCAGGAAGTTGGGATCCTAGAAGACCTGGTCCCCATTTTGTCTTTCCCTCTTATTCACTGTGTGAAATGGGCAATGTGTGGCGTCTCTCTGACCCTCAGTATCCTCTTCTATAGAGTAAGAATAAGTATATTTACTTGAAAAATGAGAAGCAATGAGTATTTGTTGTTCAGCACATATTAGTCACTCAAATGAGAAGCTACCAGTTATTGCTATTTAGGGGACATGATTAAGCTTAAGCAGCATAACATGATGATGTTTCCCAGCATATTCTGTCCACAAAAGTAACAACAACAGCAAAAAACCCCAAATCTAAAACCCACAAAAATATTTCCATGATGGCTGTTTTTTACAATTTTGTTATTCATAGTTATTTTTCTTTATTGAGTTCTCATATTTGACCATATACAACCTGATATTTCTCAGTCTTATCAATAACTCTGCAAAATCACTGGGAATTTTGGTTCAATCTGTGAAACATCTTAAATCTAATTTAGATTCAACTACTTATCTCTGTGTAATAATTTAACCCCTTCAAACATTCTCTCTCTCTCATGCTAGGATGGGTACGCATAGCCTGGCACAACTCTCTAGAACTCAGGTTTTGGTCAACCTTGGCAATTTCCCACGATGGTGGTTATAACTGCTTTACAGTGTCATTCATTAAGGATCCTTCCAGATCTAGCTCTGCTACTGACCGTGTGACCTTCACAACGATACCGCACAGCTGCCCTTTATCCACTTCATGAATGTCTCTTCCTTTTCAGATACAATGCAAATCCAGACATACAGTGTATTCACTCTTATCCTCATAGCAAACCACAAAATACATTATTCTACCCAGTTTCAAATTACAGAACACCACCGAGAGCTAACCGAAGCTCAGAGAGGTTTAAGCCACTTAGCCAAAGACACACTACTTTTATGCTCAGTTTTGACCTATCTCAAAGCCTCCTCTCTTTCCATTTCTGCATGCTATCCATCCTCATTAACTTCTTTGAGCCTCAGTTTCAACATCTTTTAAAAGACCTGATATTGCTCTGCCAACTTCATTAAGTTGTTAAGATCATTAAATAAAAAAATGTGTCCAAAAGCTCTGTAGATTGTACAAGGCTATGTAACTGTGGTATATGAGCATTACTATTCTCTCATGTGACTATTAAAATAAAATATTCATACATTTATCTCTATTAATAAGTTCCATGGTGATTGTGGCATGTGTTAGGAATAAGTCCAGAGCTGGTTTTGGGTAAGGAAAGGAAAGTCATGGAGAAAGAGCCTGTATTTGCTGAGTACATACTAAGTGTTAAGTATGTGCCATATTTCATTTAATATAAATATCTCATTATTGAGGCTAACTAGTTTCAACACAGATGTTATGTGATCCATTATAAAGATGCAGGGATTGAGGCTCACAGGAGGTAAAGTATCATGCCTGGTCCAGTTTGCAGAGTTTGGTCCTGAACAACTTGGTCAGATACTAAATTTTACAGTCTTTCGAAGACAGCACCTGACTCTTGGTAAAGTGAGCTGGAACAGGGTTTCCTGGTGTTAAGACCACAGCTGGGCTGATGGTACAGAAAACTATAGCCTTTGGCTTTCAAATGGCCTTGTTCACAGAGTCATCTGAGAAAGCTCCTTGGAGAGAGGAAAGAGAAGTATCACCATCAAGATGGCCAGCGTGGAAGAGCACGGCCGGAGCAGGTTCAAGGATGAACTCTACGAGGCTGCAAAGAAACACTGGCCACTGTCCCTATCGGCCAGCTCAGGGGCAAATCATTGTAGGTCTGAATTCTGTTATGACATTTGTGACTGGCCAACCTTGACCATTTACTTGGCCACTCAAGTTCTTCATCTACAAATCAGGGAAAACAGTCTCTAACTCTCAAGGTCGGGAGCAGGAAATTCAGTGAGTTAATGCATCTAGGCTGGCTGGCAAGAGATAGAGTTATAAATGCTAGTCACCCTTCCTGCCTTTCTAGGGCACCTTTTAACTGAAGTTTCTCAGAGGATTGCTGAAGCTTTGTCGTTTTTCTGGTAGGCCTCCAATTAGCCTGACATACCACTGTCCTCCTGGTTTTTGAAATAACTGTTCCCTATGGTTTGAGTGGCCCCTGGGAGTCCAAACAAACAACACCATTGAGGGGGTGTACCACAATACAGACAAAGAGGATAATCAGAGAAGTAACATTAACACGAGATAATAAAGTCAGTATTAATAGAGTTCTACTACATCAGTACCTTTGAAAGTATAGCTACTTTGATACATTCATTCTCTTTTCTATCTCACTCTTGTTTATTATTTGTTTGATTTCTCCAAGAAGAACCTGGAGGAGATGTCTACTGGCACCCTTAGAGGTGAGCATTTCACCCCAACTTTCACTCGATTGAGCTCCTTGTCCTTGTGAGTGGAATCATGGTCTGTATGATTCTAAAGTCATATCAAAGTAGAAAGAAAACCATCACAATTTAGAAAATTAAACAAATATACAGAGGGTGACTATATATATATATATATATATATATATATATATATGTATATATATATACACACATTTTAAGAAAGGCAAAAACTGTATTTAAATTGTAAGACTCAATATATACCGATAACGAAAGATGAATACAAATCGTGTGTATATATTTTTTTGGCACCCCCGGCATATCCACAGGGGCTCCAGGAGTTAACTTCTACTTTCCATGACCTACTTTGAATTGAGGCTGGCTTTGTAGGGGGCTGTCCTAATGAGGTAAGACAAGAAAGCCAGCAGCTGGCCTGGCCTGCAGATTCTTGTAGCAAACGGTCAGGGAGTCCCAGCTCCAAGAAGAGAAGATTGAAAACATTTAGTCTTTTAATGTTTTATAGGTAGGTATCTTGAGTCTTCCTTCTAGCAGAACAAGGGATCTGTTAAAAATGAGTTAAAAGAGCTGGCTTTTTTAACGCCGTTCAATGCTTTATAGGAGGTCCAGCATCGCACATTAGAAAAACCCTTTTTGCTTGGTGTCAGCTCTTTCCTAATGACCATTTATGACAGTGAGATGACCGCTCATGTAGAGCTGGCCCCCTTAGCTTACCTGAACAGTGTGGGGAGTGCGAAAGGCCCCGTGCTGAGATGTCGGTCTCCTGCGTGGGGCCTTGTGGTGGCATCACGAATTCCTGGAGCTGGTAATCCGTAAGGCAGTGGGTTGATTATTCTCAATACTAAGCAGTGTCCTTTAGCAGAAAACTCCTCCTAGGTCCGTTGTAGGTTTGGTTTCCTGTGAAATGCAGCCACAGACCTAGGGCGGTGTGATCTGTGTTCGTGTGAGACTTCCTCTTCTCGAGTTGAAATGCAATAAATGAAGCCGTAGGGCTCCCAACCCACAGGCTGTCCTTAAAGACACACAGTGTCCTTAGGCGGCACTTCCCGATTTCCAGAACACACTAACAGATTGCAGAGTAACATTCAAACATCAAAGATGAGTTTTGCTGGACTCATTTCACGTGTACATTGAATGCTAATTCTCCTGTGACTTGATGTTGCCAGTGGCTTCCTGAGACCCACCCAAGACACATGGACCAGATCCGTCAGGTGTCATGGAGAATGGGGGTTGGCTGAGGATGTCTGGCTCTTATTTCTGCTTTATTAATGATTAGTTACATGGTCTTGGGCAAGTTTCAGTTTATTTTTCAACTAGTTTCTTTGTATATGACTGAGGGATAATAATAATAATAATAATAATATATTTTAGAGAGAGTCCAAGAAATGAACAAAATAATGTAAATTAAGACCCACAGCAATATTTTGGGTTTGTATTAGGTACTCAGTGTATTTTAATTCCTCTCTGCCTTAACCCTGCTTCATTTCAGCTGGCAGCAAGCCCTTGCAATGCCTGCTATTCTCTTCTGGTCCTCACCACTTGACATTCTAGTTTTAGATAAGTTGATGTGGAATGTCATAATAAACCCAAACATCACTTAAAATAAATTCAAAGGCAGAAGGTTATATTTTCTTGGGTAAATAACTCTGGTTTTGACTTAACATATACCCCAAAGGTAACATTAAGGCGGCACTGAAGCCTAGAGAGATTTGAGTAATTCACCTGCTGTAGCAATTAGCTTTTGCGGCATTAAGGGCTTAAAACAATAACCATTTCACTCAGATCACTGTTGTGTGGTTCACTTGGCCAGATCCTTTGGTCTGGACCTGCAGGAATTTCCTGGGGCTGTCATAGCAAAGTTCCGCAGCGTGGGTGGCCCACACAACAGAAATCTATTGTCTTACAGCCTGGAGGCTGGAAGTCTGAATCGAGGTATTGGCCGAGTTGGTTCCTTCTGAGGCTGGGAGAGAAGGATCTGTTCCAGGTCCTTCTCCTTGACTCGTAGATGGTGGTCTTCATCTTCACGTGACATTCTCCCTGTATCTGTGTCCACAGTTCCCCCTCTTTTAAGGATACCAGTCATATGGGATAAAGGCCCACCCTAATAACCTAATTTTAAATTGATCACCTCTTTAAGCACCGTATCTCCAAGTACAGTCACATTCTCAGCACTGGAGGTTTGGGTGGGTGGTGGTGGTAGGGTGCAATTCAACCCATAACAGGACCTGATCACCTGGTCTCTGCTGGTGGGTTGTCCGGCAGCTGAATGAACTAGGACTGTCACATTCATGATTGTGTTGGTTGGCAGGAAGTCAGCCAGGTGCCTCGGTTCTCTGACATATGGCTTTTCATCATCCAGCAAGCTAGACTGGACTCATGCACAAGATGGGAGTGGGGCTCCAGACCCAGCAAGAGAGGAACAGCCCCCATGCACAAGCCTTTCCCAAGTCTCTGGCTGCATCCTGTTTGCTGTGGTCCCATTAGCCAAAGCAAATCACCCAACCAAGTCTAGAGTGAATGTTGGAGAAGATCACTCAAGGGGCGGGTACAGGAAATGGAATTACTGTGGACTTCACTGGAGAATAGTCTCATCGCCATGTTACCATCTAGCTAGTGGCTGGACTGCGATGGGAACCTAGGGCTCATCATATAACAATCCCTGCATTTTACCAAAGAAGAATTAAAGACAGTTTGGTATCGTGACAATGTAGTTAATAGTGTATGTGATATTTATAGATTTCTTGAAATCATTCATTCAGTCAGCCATTATCTATTGAATATTTATTATGTACCAATCACTTTATTAGGTACTGAAAGACACACCTAATTCTTTTCCTCATGGAGCTTACCATCTAGAGGAGAAAATAAATGAATGGATTTCACAAATATCAACAAAACTACAATTTGTGATAAATGCAATGAACAGGACCTGACCAAACATTCATTCATTTATTGAACAGTTATTGACCTTCTCTGCCTGCTATTTGCCAGGCTCTGACTAAGTTTGGGGGTACAGAGGCGAACTAGAAAAATCTCATCCCTACCCCCCCACTGGAGCTTAGAATCGAATGGAATAGAGAGACATTGAATAGGAAGCAGTGATCAGGACATTGCATACTCTGAGACGGAAGTGAAGAGGACCCCAAGAAGCAGATATCTTCTACTCTGGGGACTCAGGAAAGACCTCCCTGGGGAGGGGGTGACATGAACTCTGAGTCCTTTATGATGAGTTGGAATTTGCTAGACCAAAGGAAGGGGAGGAGAGGAAGTGAGGCAGAGGGAAGAGAGGAAGGAAGGAAGGGAAGAAGGACTGAACATGGTGTCAGGGAGAACATTCAAGGCCAAGGGGTTGCATGTCTAGATTCCTGCGTAGGAGAGACAAAGGCGCACTGGAGTGAAGGTGGCTGGGATGTGGAGAGAATAAGGGAGAACAGGACACAGAAGCTTCTAGAGAGACAGGCTACATTCTCCCTCAGTCTGAGCCACAAGTCCCATCTGATGTCTCCCTCTTCCTTGCTGTCTGTCCTACATTTCACAGTCTGAGAAGTTCCTTACACGAATCTTCTATTTGGGTGACAATTAATTTTGTGTTCATTGCTTCCTGAGTTCTTATCTCTTGCCCTTTACACTCCATCCCCCATCGGCATATTTTATTGGTCCATGGACCCTGAGTCACACGAGAGGTTTCTGGGAAAATCTGAGGAGTTGGGGTTTCGATATCCAGGTCAAAATTACCCAGCTGTATCACTGAGAAGCTCCCTGGCTTTGGGCAAAGAACTTGACCATTCCGAGTCTCATACATAAAATGGGAATGAGAATACTTACTTAGGGGAGTGACTGTGAGGATTCAATTACTTACTTCCTGCAAAATGTCTGGTACCATGCCTGGCAGCATCTAATCAGCCAGCCCCTTCGGTCTTCCCTGAGGCCCTCTCCCATACCACCGAAGCATACATAATATGGGGCCGCCAGAAATACTAATGGACCGTCAGTGATCTGCCATGTCTGTGAATAAAGGGTGAGCAACACGAGCAGTGCTGCCTGTGGGTCTCGATAGCACTTTTTGGGGTCCATGCTTGCTTGACACAGTGAGTTTTGTTAAGTTTTCACTTTCTGGCTAGTCCAGCCAGGGTGTGAAAACCTATTGGGTAGGCTGTGTGGAAGAATGACAGGAACAACGACAACAACAACAAAACTGGGGAAAAACAAAAAGCAGATCTTTTAAGGCCCAATCATGTAGGACCATGGTCCTGGGCAGCTGTTACAGGCCCTGCTGCAGGGCAGAAGTACAGGGCTGTCAGGCTTTGGGTTACACTGGCTGCCTTCAAATTCCCCGGCTTCACTAAGTGGATGTATTTCAGCAAGTTATCTCACTTAACTGATTCTCTCATTTCTCACCTTTACAAAGGAAGGTGACACTACTAATCTCATAGCCGTTTTCCGTGCATGAGATGATAAAATTATCTTGCCAATCCAGGGAGGTAAGAAGATATGGGTGTAGCTATTGTAAATGTCGACAACCTACTTAGAACCCATTTAAAGAGATCTTAATTTTTTTCAACTTCTATGGATTTAATGCACGTGAGGAGAAACTGAACTTTTTATCTGTACTTTAAAACTCATTTTTTTATTTTTAAATTTTTATTTTGGAATAATTACAGACTCAATAGAAATTGTCAAATAGTGTGTGTGTGTGTGTGTGTGTATTTTGAACATAACAAATTTAAGTGATAAAAAAATTTGGTGGTCTTAGGAAGCATCGTGACCCTATGTGGTATTTGGTTTCATCTTTTCAGCAGGTGGCAACTGCCAAGTTCAGTCTCCCATCACACAGCTGGTCTCGGGATGGTGTCAAGGCTTGGGGTTGCACCATTCAATTTACACACACTTACACCCCAAAACACAAGAAACTGTTCGCTATCATGGTAGGTGTGTTGTTGGTTTTATAAATTCCTAGTTGGGGGTACTATCTGTTGCAATGGATCAAAATCCATGTATTTTTTTTTCTTTTTAACAAATTATATGAGAGCTGAACTCCTACGTGGAAACCTGGGTTAATTAGCGCCGGCATTTCTGATTTATTATAGTTGAGCACCTGTTTCTAGTGGTGCCCCGGGCGGTTGGACTCCAGGCCCATGAGAGGGGCTCACCTCCACTAATTGCCTTTCCTTTTTTCATCTCGTATCCTGTCTCCTCCAGGAAACACGTTAGGAGCCTCCCCCAATTAGCTGTGGCCTCTTTTTTGCATCACACTAGCCCTTTTGAAAGGGGAATCTAGGCATGAGCTGAAGCTGTGTCCTCTGCTGGACTTCAGATGCACTCAGTTTCAACCGGGTCTGTGCTACCAGTTGGACAAATTCATGCCTGCTAAGAAGTAGCTTCCTGGGGGCGGGGGATGTAACATATAAACACAGTTGACATTGAAACCCGCCTGGTCATGGCTGGGGAATGATAGCAGGTGGGGTTGTTTGGAAGGCCATTCTCTCCAGGACGAAGCTCCAGGTGTCCCCACTTCCTGGCCTAACCGCCCTAACAATCCTATAGAAAGGCAGACCCCAATACAGGTAAACCCAGGACTCAGTGTAAAAGCTCGCAGCTCAGAGGTTGAGGACCATTCTGAGCAGGACGTGCATGGCTCCTGATTTTGGGTTTATGTTCTAGCCGAGTTCTGTTGCATTTATACTAAGCTCTTTGGGAACCAGAGAGGTGGAGGCGACAGGTAAGGGCAGAAAGGGCTTTTCCCTAAAGTCTCTGCTCTGCTTCCTTCAACTCCTTTAATTCTTTGTTCACATAAATGATAGGTGGTTTACCAATGAACAAATAAATAGAGTTCATTTCTTAGCTCACACTACTTACACCCCCCACAGCCCAGCAGGGCCCCAGGGCGAGACATTGATTAAGACCTTTGTGTATGCTAGACATTGTTCTGGGCACTTTGCATAAATGCATAATTT